TCTCAACATGTGGGAAGCAGTGCGTCATTGTAGAGAATGTGGACATGTGACCATGGTCATATTAACCTCGGATGTCTTTTTAAGTAAGCTCTATTTTAATGTATCTTATCGGGTGATGTTAGTTGGAAGTCCACCCAAGTAATTCATTTCAAGTCCCCCAAGTCTACAGTTTAATGGTACTTCACATATGTGATCACCTGAGTGGGGATGCTAAAAATCATTCAGAGCATCCTGGGCCTACTGTGGTAAATGTAACTGACATTTTTCTCATCCATGTAGTCGCTGAGTTGAAGACAGACCCCACCCCCACCATATCTGGTGTATGTCACATCTATTCCAGTTAGGTTACAACAGAGAAAGAGGGTAAACATGAAGTTGACATTTCCAGCCAACTTCTGCTACAGCGTTCTGCTCTACACACAGTTTCAGTGTTTGAACTGGTGCGACATCTTTGTTGAAGTTATTAGTAAAACTTGTGCATGTGCTCTGACTGGTTTGGGTAGTAGTTTGTCTGTGTAGCGTTTGTCCATGAGCCCTTGAGCCTTCCCACGGCTTTTCCATGAGCTCTCTGCAGAGGCAGATGATGGGACGAAGTATTTGGCTGCAGAGAAGTGTTTGTCCTGTTCCTTGATTCAGTTTAAGTTATGCAGCAGAATCCAAAACAATGGATGATTTGAACGCAGGCGTTGTTAGCAGTTTTGACGTTGCAAGTGTGGTCATATGACAAAGCAACGTCAGAGGATGAGTCAGCCACCTGAGGAATGCCATTTGTTGTGTGAAGAACTGGGATGATTGAGATCGCTGTGTGTAGGTATTTTATTTTTCATCTTTTCGTGACAAAGTGTTAACAAGCTCGCGCAAAGATTTTAGGAATGTGCACGTGTCTCCTGAAGATTTTAAGGATTAGTTAGCTAATGTTAAATGAGAGTTCTCTGTGTCACAATAGTGGCACATGCTTCATAAGGTTAGATCGCCATGGTAATTGAAGCAGCAAAGGCTAAGAGGATCTGGAGCAGGCTATATTCAGACTTGGGATGTCCCGTGCTGATATTTATAATTTATGGCAATGTTTCAGTCCCACTGACTTATGCAGGCAGTTTAAAAAGCACTGACACACTTCTTTGAACCACATATGACTGCTCTTGAAGACACACACTTGTTATGACTGTTCTTGAACATATGTCAAGTGCTTTTTTTTTTTTTTTTTTTTTTTACGAATGTTATCAATTAAGAAAACAAATTTCTACTCCTTGATTGTAATTGATTTTAAAATGAATTTTGTCACCACCTTTGCCGTAGGTGATTTTGATTTATCGCAGCAACATTTTAAGAACTACTTTGTTTGTCATGACGATAAATCAGTTGGAAATGAAGCTTATGTTTATAGATTTTTTTTATTTTCCTGGTCTGATGCCCGCTGGCTATTAAAGCTGACTTAACAAATGGCTGTCAATATATATTTATGACCTTGGAAATCAATATTGAATGAATAGTACCATGAAGTCCATTTTATACAGTAGATGGATGGTTCATAACCAGTTTTGTGAGTGTGTGTTTTGACTCAAAAGAGTAAATTTGTATAACATTTGACCAGCTGGTTTATCAGTTTTAACATATACATCTGTGTATTCAGGTTCTCCCTAATGATTTCTATGCTTGTGTGACCCAGTTAGAAGAACATCTGTCTCTGCCTTCAGTGTTGCTGCCGCAGATATGGTCATCAAGCCAAATCCTTTTTCAGTTTGGTGTCTAAACGAAACACCACACAGGAGCATGTGTGAAAACACGACAATTCTGAAGAAGAACTTATGTAATGGAATAATTGTGAAACCATTTTGTTTATCGAAATGCAAAAGAGGAAAGAAATCAGTTCTTAGAAGTAAAGCCCATAAGAAGTGATCTGTTGTAATATCGCCCACAGATAAGCTGTCTATGTACTGTGCGACCTAACTGATTTTATATTCAGGAGGCTGGGCAAGGCATTGTCTTCAGCCTGTCTACATATGATAAGAGGGCCTGAGCATTGGGATGGGCACAGAATCAAACAATACTTCAGCACAGTGTTGCATTTCATATAACTATATGATATGTTGTATAATGTCCAAAAGTCATGCTGAAGAAAAGTATAATATCCTGGGTGAGTGCGGTCAACCGCTGGAAGGCATAAGGAGATGAAACCTGAAGGAACGGCATCAGAAATGGGCTGTTAGCAGGCACATGTTTATAGAATGGTAGAAACATGTATAACTGTGTTTGTGAAAAGACAGGGTTAACAAAAAACGTTGATAACCAGTGTCATGAGACAACTTACCCAAGACTGATTTCCCGGTTGTCTGGGGGTGGGGGGACGCAACAACATCCCTCTGAACACACTCAGATCCTGTCCAGGTCCAATTCCCTCTATTCATATTAACCTGGGTTGTGTGTACATTCAGTTAAGATGGATTGCAGCTCAAGTCTGGTTTCAGTATGCGCCTCACACATATGTCTCAAGCAACCACTTGTGATCAGATATTTTTTCCCTGCTCATGATGCAAATAACGGCATACATCACCAGTTCTTATGAGCGAGGCCGGTCCTCAAAGACAAAGCAGTTCATCTGGTTTTGGCTCTCTGACTCAAGAGCCCCAGTAAAAATGATAGGTCTTGTTTATACTCCATGCATGTTTAGAGATCCATATTGTTCTCGTTGTTGCTCAAGCATATTGTGGTTTCTTGTTGGTACCTTCACAAATTCACGCACTACACTGGCACCAAAAGAAAATGTATATCTACTAAGATTGATATGGTCGTCCAGTGCAGTAAATGATGCATTTAACCACATACATGTATGTGGACACATGTTCTACTGACTTCCCCAAATGTTGTTTAGACAATTGCACCCGCATTGTGTTTTTGGTGGAATCAGTCAGTTTGTAAAAAGGATCACCCGGCATGAACAGCCCCCCCTGAGCTAAGACTGGTGGTTTGATTTAAAATGAAATAAAATCTGGTTTGTGTACACAGGTGGAGTGGTGGGTGGGTTTGGGACCACAGAGAAGCTCCGTGTTTGGCTTTCCATGCCACAGCACTGACCGCTTACAGTTTAGGCTAGCTTTCTGTTTACCACTTGCTCCAAAGGACTTACAAGTCTTAGCTGTTCCCACCTTGATTTGCAACGGGCGCACCTTCAGCTGCAGTGAGGCAGTTAGCCTTTGTGTTTGCTCACAGTGTCACATTTGACAGCACTCTGAGACCAGGCCAAATTTGATTTAGTTTTCAGTGTTCTGAAGAGTCTATTAGCAAAGGAACATACTGGCCAGGAACAGGGAACAGAGAAACTGGTATTACTCATACTCAATTAACCCAGTAATGAAAAATAATGTAATTATTACCATAGCAAACAAAACAAATAAGCAGCTGTGTTACTTGGCTCCATCTGTGTGATTGACTGCACAAGAGCAGAAATAAGCCCTTCCCTTTCCTGAGTTTAATGAGAAATGCCAGTTACATTTGTATCATACTACTGGGTAATTTTATAACTAGTGTCTCGGTAAGGGAATCCAGAACATACATATGTATGAGGAAGTCTTTAAATTGCCTTTCAGAGCTTGAAGCACCACTAATCCCCTTTTAACCTTTTTATTTTTATCAAAATTAACACGTTCAGAATAGAGTATCAAGGGATTTGTTTAAGGAAACGGCTATGTACATGTAAATCTTCTTGTGGACAGGACAGACGACTTCCTCGTTATAGAAGGAGCTCATGTAAATACAGTACAGGTGATTTCCTTCAACCTGCTACTTTTGGTTTCGCAGCATTGCTGCAGTGGCGATGGGGCTGTCTGCAAAGGAGAAGAGTGCTGTTGGTGTAGCTGCAATGGCCCCCTTCCCCCACCACGAACACCCCCAGTTTGAAAATTGACGCTTCTCTTGCTTTATTCCAGTGTGTGACGGAGAGGAACTTTTGTTTGGCAAGATTCAGTATTCCAAATAGATGTGATGAGGATAAAGGCACCCGAGAGGAAGTGGAGCAGAAACTAATGAGTGTCAGTGCAGTCCAGTGTGATTGCAGCTGATTGGGAGACTCTATGAATAAGTCAAAATTTCTCTTTTCTTTCCCCTCCTGTCTTTTGCTGCTTCTCTCTCTCTCGCTCTCTCTCTCTCTCTCTCTTTCTCCCTCTCTCTCCCTCTCTCCCTCCCTCTCCCTCTTTGCTGCTCTGAAGCTCTATTGTGCTCAATGAGGTTAGCGGAGGGATGATGCTATCTTTTAGCTGCCTCAGTTTGTCTCAGATCAGCTGGCAGGGCTAATCCTTTTCCAGACTTGCACGGACAATACTGTTGTGTTGTGCTCTGACCTGAGAGGCCAGATCATGTCACATTTCAAGGCAGAGTCTTGTTCAGGTTCTTGGTTTTAGACAAGCTGTAACTTATGTTGTTCTAATCGCTTTAGCGGTACAGTCTCCATCGGTCTGGTCATGATCTCACTTGGATTCTTGTCAAATTGTTAATTTACCATATGTTATCAGTTTTTGAAGGCATACAGGGAAAATTACTGAGAGTTTGACATGCTGAAAATGTCTTGCTATCTGCGTGTCCTCGGGCAGGACTAACTTGTCATGTAGGAGGAGCTTTTCTATTTCAGTATATCCTAAACTTAATAAATTCCACCTCCATTCTGTAGTTCACTGAAATATCTGCTGACAAAACAAGTTTTTATTTTTGTCAAACATACTGAACAGTAGCTTCCCAACGTTGAAAAGCCAACCCCTAACAAGCATAACTTAACATGATGATAGAGGAAGAAGTTCCTTTGACCTGAATTTGACTGCACATTAACATGCATCATCGAACGTAGACCTTACACAAGATAATCTAATCTCGTTACTCAGTTAAGATTTTGGCAGTAAGCTATCAGAGGAATTTATACTTTTCAAATTAGGCTCAACCAGTTGGAGACTTGTTGGTGTTTTTACTTATGCGTATGTTGTATTTTATCTTTGTTTTTTGTTTTTTATTAGATAAGCAAATTGTTGCTGTTGGATCTGTCATCTGCCATCCACTGGGATCCAGGCGCTTGAGTCCTAAATGACAAGGTATGTAAGGCGGTCCATTCATTTCCTGTAATTTCCTACTGCTAGAATTCAGTTCTTTATTTATTTGCTGCTGTGACTCTACCATGCACGTTACACAGCCATTGATTTGTGATGTTATTGTGCTGTATTTACTAGTGACACATCAAACACATCAGCAACAGGCTGAATTTATTGTGGGGCTTGTTTTTTTTTGTTTTTCTTTTTTATTTAGATTTAAATTTAAAGCAAACATGTCTGTATGAACAGTTTTGCCCTCATGGAAGTGATGTATTTGTGTCAAACATTAGCCCAGCTCCTAACAAGAAACAACAAGAGTGCCCCACCCTGTTCTCCTGGAGGCCAAGAGACATGATACACCTGCCAAACTAGCTCTGTGCGCAATCAGCATCCTATTTCATCTTTTAAAAAAAAAAAAAGGTCAGGAATTAGCCACCCCTTAGACATAGCTCAGCCCACTTTCAAAATATTGCATGACCACAGTTCACAGCAGGAGACATGCCTCTGACATTTGTGACAGTTATCCAATATGGCAGCTGTGATACTTGAAGCAGCAAAGATCAACATATGCACCCAACATAATGCGAAATTGGCAGCATGGTAGTTAAAGCTGACTTTGAGGTGCTGTTGTTATTGTGCCTTGTGTTGGTACAGATGCTGTCAATGCAAAAGCTCGTTCCGCAGCTGCTTCCCAGTTAAACCCCGCCACTGAATGGAATTAATAAATGGTTTTAATGTGACACTAATCCACAAGACAGAGTGATGAGCCGTCAGGAACTGTGAGGTTGTTGATCGTGATCATGTGGAGCATTTGTTCGTACAAATAGGTGGTTGAAAACATCCTTGGCTCACAGACTGCCTGAAGGCCCCAATTTTGGGTGAAAAGGACAAACTTGCCAAAAAGTGCCTTCAGGCCGCTGAATATTCTGTCATGTTGTCCACGCCAACTGAGGAAAAAAACAAAAACAAAACTTAATTTCCAACCCTCCAGGCCGCAAAGCTCCCGCTGAGCTGTGAATATGATGATTTAAAAAAAAAAAAAGTTAATAAACACCCAATGAAGACCTGAATATTTAATTTTCCTATTTTGGGCTGTGTGTTCAAAACAGTGACAATAGATAACACATTTCCAGACGTCTAGACAGTCTTCTCCTTAAACCGTGAAGTCAGTTTGTCTATAGAGGACTCTATAGATGCGTATGTCTTGCGACCTGAATAGTGAAGACAACAAAACCGAATGACAGGAGGCACATCATGTTTAACCCACTGCTACTTGAGGCAGCTTTGTTTCTGGGCTTTGCTGACAGGAACAGGTTCGCCTTTCAAAGCTGAAGGATTTTGCTTTTGTCTGTGCAGCGTTTCCACATGTACTTGTTTGACTACTCGGCTTTTTGCCGTAACTCGTTGCCACTTTGTCTGCATAACTTTCTCACCGCTGCAGGCTGTGCATCGATCGACATTTAATACCTGGATCTAAGCCAAGGTCAACACACAAGTTTATAATTTCCACCATTGATATATTTTTTTTGTCCACAACAGGGATTTCTTTTTTCCCTTTTCATAAATCAACACCAAATTACACGAGGCAGAAAATCATTGCTGCACTGCTACATGATGATTATGGGGTTACAGTATGTGAGCACACTTTCAGCACTGTGATCAATGAATGCCAGTTAAACAGCTGTTATAGACCATTCATTCACATTAGCAGGGGCTAACAATGTCTTTCATTGTATGTGAATCATATGAATGACACGATATGTTTCATTCTCCGGAGATGACGGTCTATTATTTGTCATACTTGCTTTTAACTACTAGCAAACACACCTACAGCCTCGTCTATCAAGGCCAGTCCTAGTGACCTTTCAGCCATGGCGGCCGTTTGTCGTATTATTTGGAATATCTGTCCAGTTTTTTCTCTGACATATTATCTTTTCATTCACATAAATAAACGTAAAATCTCTTCTTTATTTCAATATGCTCCCAGAGAAGGGATATTTTAGTGTCATCTCTAACCTCGCATCAAACTTGACTTTTTTTCATGCTTAGGTTCCCTAATAGAGTAGTTAAAGAATTTTGATTGGTATAACAACTGTATCTAGTCATGGACAGTATAGACTGAATTAACTATCCTTATGCATGTGAGCTAATATCATACAGGAACATCTAACTGACTTTTCCATGCCAACAGTTTAGCTGATAGTGGTTCCGATGCAGTTTTTGCCATCGTTAGACACACAGTCAGGTACAGTCCATTGTCTTCATAAATGATTTGAAAAATAAGCCAGGCTGCTGCTTCAGGGTTCGATGCAGATGGAGATTGCAATAGTGAAGGTAAAATGGAGCAAGATGAAGTAATTACAGTTCATTTTCTTCATCTGGAAACATGAGAGGGAAAATTAATTACTCCTGTATGAGGAAATTCAAATAGTGTAAATTACACTAGTTCACACACTGTTTCCCTTTAATGCGGAGGACATGGTTCGGTGTGTTTTAACATAAGTGTTAAAAAAAAAAAAAGGCTGGAGTTTTCTTGTTGCTTTGCTCAGTATATTCCTATTTATTTATAGATGAATATCATGGATTATTTTAGAATGGATACAGTAATATTCAGTATTTTACAAACCAAATATCTATGCAAATTCTCATTTTATGAATAAAATAATATTTAAAATAATAATCTTTGACTTTTCTTTTTAGTACAAACCCTATTTAAAATGATAACTTGGAACTAATTATAATGCTTCCTGGATATCTAAGGGCTGTAGTTTTCCTATTCAGAGAGTTTATACAGTATACAGTGACCCATCTTTACAGACAATTTTTCATTGTTAACAGTTTTAAAACCAAAGTTAATGAGCTGACTTTATGACTTTAACAAGGCACTTGGGGAATGTTATCCATTTCCATATTCTCCAGTAGGCAAACAAGGGAAATGCGGCAGTTGTCTGCATGGATACGTAGCTCTGACCTGAATGTGTCTGACCTGGTTATTGAGACTTGGCAAACTGGATCTCGCTTCCTCAGTCTTTCTAGCTCACATTGACAGACAGACAAGCAACTGTGTCTGATAGTAGTTCCTGTGCAGCTCTTCACTGGAGAAGCGTTCTCTTTCAAACATTGACATCACTCAGAGAGGTTTTAGGAACTTCTCTTACTGTCCTGTACGACGATGTCCATTCATTATTGATGTTACAGTAAATACATTGGAGAAGACATTAATGATGTTCATTTAATTAACTGCCATGCAAAGCAAAAGCAAAATATTTACCGTAACTGTGGTTAGACTTTATTTTACTATTGCTATTTGTGTCCGGCTTGTTCATTTACTATCACTTCCTGTGCTTTTTCCACTCTTGGCCATCTGTGGGAGTAGCCTAGATCATGAGCCGATAGCCCTCCAGGTCCTTTTTGAGCTCTGTGAGTTGGAAACAAGACAAGCAACATTGGTCTGTAGCACTTGAACTCACTGTTTATTCATATCAGCATACTTAGTTCACTGTAAACACCAATCATTCTTCTCCTCTTGTCCCTCATGGTTCAAAATAAACTGTTACAGTGAATAAGGTAGCTGTGTATATTCTGAGTGTCACATGTGGCTGATTTTGGAGTAGAATGAATGAGGTTCTTGACTGAGCACAGTGAAACCTAACGCTTTATGTTTCCTGCTATTTTTGTGGCTGTCACATGCTGCACATCTGCAAAATGGCATTTAAAATAATCCAATTTAGATTAAAAAGACATTTGCATTAAAAAATATAGCCTGTCTCACAGCTTTGCATTCATGGCTCTCTATAATGTTTCATATAATATCCATAACATCAGTGGTGTCAGTATGTGAGTGTTGTAGCTGCGGGGTTTATGCAGGATTTGGACGGCCTTTCCTCATCCCAAGAGAGGGCGAAATATTCAAGATTGGAGGCAGTTTTCTCACCAAACTGAAGACTGGGTTTTTTTTTCTTTCTTGCTGTCCTTATGAATTTTTTGTTGTAACAGCGGGATGTTGTTTATTTGTGCCATATCATAGTTTAGTCCGTCGCTATACTATGCACGAGGAAGACATTGGTGTTGTTTTTAAAGGTTGTAAGGAAGTGTTACTGGCAGGTGCTGCATCCCCAGTGGGTTATAATCAGTGCCAGGATATTGATCCATGCATTGTTATGATGATTGATTTAACAATATGTTATGATAGAAATCAAATGCCCTTTTATAAGAAGTCATATATTTATGAACAGCTTACACAGCCAGCAATGCCGTTGGGAGGAACCTGAGCACGATGAAATAGACTCTGCTCCATCACCACTATAGTGAGTGACTGCAACATTGTTAATAAGAGCTAATGTCTTCGATCAGGTCTCCTCTGTGCAGAAATGAATCCCAGGGGTCCATATTTAACTTGATCTCATATTTAATTAACAACTTACCGGCAGAAGGGATTTTACTATTTATAACCAGCAGGACTCTCTCATTCTTCGCCCTGGTTGGGTCTTAATTAGGAGGAAAAAGCTCTCCCAAAAATCCAGACCATTTTGAATGGCTTCTGACCTTAGTGTACTGATTTTATGTACAAAAAAATGTATAATTTAAATCACCATCTAGCAATGCTCCAGTCTTTTTTAATACTTCAGTTAGGTTGTGCTTGAAGCAAGCTTTCTTTATAACAAATCAATTTTCCAAACTTTCAGGCTAAAGGGAGTGAAAGGGGGAAGTTTAGGAGTTGCCAGCTGAATTATTTAAAATGAAAACTTGGCCAGTTTAGATGATGCAACTTTTATGCAAACAGTTATGCAAACAACAACCCTGCTGACCTAGCAGTAGACCTGTTCATCATGTTGCAGCTCTTTGCTTATCACAATTTGTTTTGAAAATAGATGGCTTTTCTGTGTGTCTGTGGCACTCTATGGAAATAGACATCAAACTACAAGAGGGGAAAGGAGGAGCAAAAGGGTGTGTGTGTGTGTGTGTGGTGTGTGTGTGTGTGTGGGGAGAGGAAAAAAGGGAAA